TTATCAGTCGACATTGTTTCATTAATTTCAACATGTCGTCTGTCATCCATTTACTTTTTTTTTATTAAGTTTTTTTCTATAATCAACGTTTGTGGGTGTTTCGTTAACTTGGTTTTTAAATTCGCTCCATAGTTCTTCTGGATCATCTAGTTGTTCTGCGATGTTTTTTATTCTACTGTCAAAATTAAGTACACTGGTTTTGGTTTTTGTCGCTAAATTCGTTTTAACCTTAGTTTAATATCTGCTACTAGTGATTGATGATCAGATCCAATATCTGCCCCAGGAAATGTAGTGACTAATTTGACGGCATTTATTAAGTTGTGTTACATATTTTTTGACTGATTCTTCTCTTGCAATTTTTAGTTGTGTTTTTAATTTATTAGTTAAGCGATTGTAAAACATTTTATTTCCTAGATTCCGACTTCGTTGCCATTTAGCTCTTACTCTTCTTTTTTCGGCATTGAGCTTTTTAATTTCTAGTGCAATATTTATTCTATTGCTGATTTTATTTTTATCTGCATCGTTCGATGTTGATTTTTTTTTAGGCGTTTTTCAATAATATCAATAGGTTATTTATACGACCTATATTCCCGAGGGCTTTTTAGTCTTCAGCAGAAATCCAGCATTGTTCTGTAAAGATTCCTGTCTATTTTAGATCAATGCAGTTTTGGAATAGGTTGTTTTTTAATTACGTAGGTGCTAATTATTGCAATAATTGGTGGATGATCTGACGATGCGTCATAACTTGGAAATATGTTCATATATTCCCTTTATAGTGCAAAAATCTAAGAGGTCTGGTCTTTTTTTGGGGCTGTTTGGCTAAAGTTGGTATTCCTGTTGGTAAATATGACTATTTATTTTCTTGCATTAAGCTAGAGAGCTCTCCCCATTTTGTTGTTATTAACCTTGGTCACCAGTAAGTGTGTTTACTATTAAAGTCACTAGCTGGTATAAATTTTGGGCCTAGCGTATTAAAGAAGAATCTAAAATCTGTTTTTTACTATTGTGCTTTGGAGGGCAATATACTGCTACAATTGTTATTTTGTAAAGTAATAAGCACACCCTTGGATACAGTCTTTTACATAAACCTACATTATGAAATGTTTAATTGATTGTTTGTTTAAGTATTGGATACTGGATTAGCATTGGTTTTGAAGATACTGGATTAGCATTGGCTGGCTGTTTATATTTTGCAATTGTTGGCTAACTATAAAGTTGTCAAATCCTGGTCCGTTCCCTGTTGAAAACATTATAAATAAATTATATTTTTAATAGTCGATCTTCTCAAAATAATATTTATATAAATTATCGGATTGGTAGGGTTCAAAGGAGTAGATATGCGACTTAATCACATGAGTGGACCATGGCAAACCTGAGCAATCCTACCGGAGATTGGGTAACCAATCCCAGTGGAAAGTAGGGTCAGGGCCGACGAGGAAGGGATAAATGGTCCTACGAAAAAGGGGTTATGCATGGGACTAACAACCCTATCCTAGAAAACACACATGTTACGAAAATTCAAGGAAAGAAAACCGAACTGATCAAACGACGACGACTGCGCGAGAAACAAGTACATAATTTAAGATCCGCGACATGGAACGTCAGATCCCTATACAGATCGGGAACCCTCAAAAATCTGCTCGGTGAACTGAATAGATATGACATACATATAACAGCTCTGCAGGAAATGAGATAGATCGGGAGTGGCACCATTGACAAAAGACACCACATTATATTCTATAGTTGTCATGCTAAAGACCACGCACTAGGTACTGGCTTCATTGTAAATAAAAAGGCTAAACACCTCGTAAGAGACTTTCGTGTTATGAACTCTAGAATGTGCATCCTAAGACTAGAGGGAACATTTTTTAATTATAGCATCTTAAATGTGCATGCCCCTACAGAGGAAAAGATAGACGATGTCAAAGAAAAATTCTATGAAGAAGTAGATGCTGCATATCATTCATACTCAAAGAATGACATCACAATTATTTATGGTGATGTCAACGCAATAATAGGAAAAGAGCAACAATACCTACCAACTACAGGTAAGCACAGCCTTCATGCGGTATCCAATGACAATGGAATCAGACTAATAAATCCAGCACCTTAACATGGTCATTGCCAGCACATGCTTTCAGCAAAACAATATTCATAAGGGAACGTGAAGATCTCCAGATGGGGTTACAGTGAACAAGATCGATCGTGTTATTATTGACTCTAGACATCACTCAGACGTAATAAACGTATGCAACAGACGAGGAGCAAATGCAAACTCGGATTACTACCTAGTGGAAAGTAGAATAAGAGCCAGAATCTCAAACATTAAAAAAGAAAAGGGATCCAAAATTGAAAAATATGAAATAAAAAACTTATCAAACAACAGCAAAAAGGCAAAATACAAAGAATATATAAAAGGAAGGCTAGAAAACAAACAAAAGCAAAAAATATCATACAAGAAGCGGCCAAAGAGACCCTGAGTCTACAAAAAAAGCTCAAATCAACTGAAAGACAGTGGTTCGATGAAGAGTGTCGTAACATAACAGAGAAGAAAAGTAATGCATATCAACGACCACAACAATGACATAGAATATGAAAGGCAGAAGAGGAATATATAATGCTAAGTAGGGAAGAGAAGAAAATACATCTCAGAAAGAAAAGAGTAGAAACAGAACTCCAAGAAATAGAAGAACTAAATACACCAACAGAAACTTAACAAAAACTTAACAAAAGTAGAAAAGAATCTAAACTAAGAACAATGATCTGCAGAGATAAAGAAGGAGAGATAGTAACTCAACAGAGTGAAATACTACAAAGATGGACAGAACTCTTCAATGAAAAGTTTGAAAAAAACGAAGATCTACTATATGATGGAATTATACTGATACCAGAGCAACAACCTCCCCTACTGTAGTTGAAATGCAAGAAGCAGTTACCAGACTGAAAAACAATAAGTCACCTCGATTAGACAACATTAGCACAGAATTAATAATGGAAGGCCCAGACTCCCTATTGAATGTGACACACGAACTAATAGTGGACATATGGAATAATAAACAACTGCCACAAGACTGGAATACCGGAGTAATTATTTCATTATATAAAAAAGGAGATCAGCTTCAAAGTAAAAACCACCGGGCAATAACGCTACTAACTGTGGCATATAAAATACTGTCAAATATTGTATATGACCGATTGAGACCATATGCGGAACAAATAGTTGGAGGATATCAATGTGGTTTCTACAGGCAGAAGTCCACAATAGATCAGATCTTCGTCTTGAGGCAAATCTTGGAAAAGATTAGTGAATTTAATATAGACACACATCATCTTTTCATTGATTTTGAGAGTGCCGATAATAGCATCCATCGAGAATTTCTGATCCATGCACTGAAAGAGTTTAATATTCCAACTAAACTCATTGATATAATAAAAGAAACACTTACAGTATAAAGCAAAATTCGAATTCAAAACGCACTAACAGATACAATCCATGGGAGAACGGGCCTACGACAGGGAGATGCCCTATCCTGTATTCTATTCAACATCACATTAGAGAAAATAATTAGAGAGTCAAAAGTCAACACCAGAGGAACAATAATAACAAAAAATGTAAAAATATTGGCATTTGCAGATGACGTTGATTTCATAGCTAGAAGTGAAAGAGAGATGATAGAAGCATTTAATGCGATAGAAAGAGCGGCACAAAACAGTGGCCTAAACATTAATGAAATAAAGAACAAATACATGAAGGCCAGCAAATCGACACGCCAAAGAAACCTACAGAACGAAACCTACAAATCTAGGCTCACTAGTTACCGCAGATAACAATGTCGATGAAGAAGTTAAGAGAAGAATACATACCGCTAATAAAACATATAATGGACTAATTAAACATCTAAGATCTAACATCACAAGAAAAACCAAATGCAAAATATACAAAACCCTGATAAAATCGGTCCTTGTATATGGATCAGAGACATGGACACTGTCGAAAAGCGATGAGAACCTATTAGGTACGTTTAAAGAAAAATCCTTAGACACATATATAAGGGGATGAAAGAAAATGACATATAGCGCAAAAGATATAATTTTGAATTATACACAGCATTCCATGAACCCGAGGTCATAACATCCATAAAGATCGGACGTCTGCGCTGGATGGGTCATGTTGAACGGATGTTGGAGACTGAAACACCAAAACATATAATGAAGCAAACACCAGTAGGGAGAAGATCAAACTCAAACTTAGATACATGGAACAATTGAAACAAAATCTGAAAACACTTAAGATTACCATTTGGAAAAACAAAGCAAGGAACAGAACAGAATGGCGAAAAATCCTAGAACAAGCCAGGACCCAGGAAGGGTTGTCGAGCTACTGATGATGATGATCGGATTGGTCAATATGCGATCATAATATAATGCGTGCATGGTCTGTATAATGGACTTGGATAGTCCTTTGTTTTTCTTCTTCTTAACTTATTGTTAAACTTCTTTAACTCAGAAAAATATTGTCATTTATTTTTTCTTATTTATTGTATCTACTGTTGTAATCTTAAATCTTTAAATATATTATTAAATCAAGAATTTAAGAAAAAAAAATAGTAATTTTATGTTTTTTTTTGTTTTATTTATTCTTATAAATATTCAAACATATCAAGTTTAGTATATTCACTATTAATTGTTATGAAACTATTATCTTGTGACACTTTAAACTAATTACTATTTTAACGAGAATAAGCCAGAATTGAAGGTCAAAATAAGTTTATTAATGTTTTCAAAATACTCAAAATACTTTTGAGAACGATTTCCGAAGAGGAAATTAAAACGTCAATAAACTTACTTTAACTTTTAATTGTGGCTTATTCCCATTAGTAATGAATTCACTATTTAGTTTAGTAAAGATAGAATTTTATAAAGATTCCTAGAATTACTTATAGTGGTAGAGGTAAAGAGAATGTAGAAATTAAAAGAGAAAAAGAAATATAATAATATCAATATATTCATGGTATTTTTTTTTACATTTTTTGGATGCTCTTATAAACTATTCAAAAATACAGTTCGGAGTAGTCAATTAATTTAAGCGGAACAGCTTTCAGGTACTTCGAATTTCAAAGTTGTGTGTTCCTTCTTCTGACTGAAGTCAGGGGAATTTTCACTGTCAACTTGGTTCTTCCACAACATGGAGACGTTGCTCTTTTGTATACAGTGTACACCTACAGACTTAGTTCTTTGTTCACGTGGTTGGCAATGGCTTCTGCATGATGGTAGAGGTACGGTACTGAAGCAAATTTTGCCTCCTTGGAAAACGTATTTGGTTTGATGGAACAAACAGTCGTTATCTTCTTCGCTGTCTCCGTTAAATTGTCTCCAATGGTCGTTAGAACTTCCCGATTTAGATTTGCTGGAATAATAATTGGATCTATTGTTAGATCTGTTTTGAGAATTACGTCTAGCATTTTGGTCAGTAACAACGTTAATGTACAAAGGAATTTGTCTTTCAACGCATTGACTGCTGCTTCCTGCAAATTCTTTTCTGACTTGCTTTCCTTCATCACCTTCAACTTCGAAGCTTCTGATAAACTTGTGTGGTTTACGGGCAATGCAGTTTTCTGATGTTAAGAAATCTTCAGAGTCTTGGTCGTTAAATTGTCCACAAAGACCGCGTGTAGCGTCCTTCATTTTTCCATTTACAGCTGTCATTCTTACACGTTCTCCATCATAGATGAAGTAGAAAGCTTCATTAACTTCAACCTTAACTTCTCCGTTAGGGATAGCATAAATTTGAATGTATCCATTTTTAATGTCATTACTTTGCTTCTCGCTTACTTGAATCATTTGTCCGTTGACGCTAACTTGTGCTTTAGGTTGTTGTCCTTGGTTTGGTACCAACAGAATGCTGACGGATTCAAAATCGGTACCAGGGCTGCTGACAACGAGTAGTACATCTTCTTTCTCACGGGATTGCTCGTTTTGACGCACGAGGACTACATAGTTTTCAAGTTGGTTTTGTAATTGTTTATGGGCAGATTCTTGTGGTTGTTGTTGGTTACTTTGACGAGCTAGTTTAGGAACATATTGAGCCATAACAGTCCATCTCTTAGAGAGTTCAGCCTCGTAGGTTTTGTTGCTGAAGGTGTTCACTGCAGATCGGTCAACAGTACAGAAATCTAAAAAGAGGTTTAAATTAATGATTAATTGTAGGCCTTAGCATAACCTTAGCAATGAGTATGGTGAATACATAAAGATAAGAATATGCGTTGATTCTACGTGAATTAGTTAAAACTAACCAAAAATGTTTAAAAAAACCAAAATGAAGAAGAGCTTTATCAAATATTAACTCAACTGTAACAGTGGATAAGATGATATAATAATAAAAAAGTTAAATACCTCTGTAAGTATCTCCTCCTAAGAGTTGTCTGGTTAATCTGTTGCGAAGGTGGAAAACTGGATGGGCAACTAATACTTCTCTAGCGAGATCATTAACTTCGATGTTTTTAGCGGATACCTTTTGATTTTGGGTTCTGACTGTAACGTTAACGAAGGAGAGATCTGGGTGGAATTTGATGTCCATTTCAGCACCGTTTGGTTGTACAGATTGTTGTTTGTTTTTAACTTGTAGGCTTGGGAATAATTCAAAACGAGCAGCTTCGTATGTCATTTGAATGGCATCTAACAATTCAGGTTTCAAGTTCTGAGATTGGAATTTAACTTCAACACGATCGAGTAAGTTTGAAGCCATAGTGAGGTTGGTGCATGAGAAGAGTTGCTTGTTGGACTGTTTCATTTCCTGTTTACATTGTTTGTATAGTGGAAGTTCCTTCAAATATTGTTTGCGCTCATCAGTTCTTCTTTGTTTGATTTCAGCCAAGATTTTAGATTTGCTTTCGTCAGAAGGTCCAAAAATAAGTTCCATCTTGGTGTCAATTTTAGGTTCATTTTTGGATAGTGAGTATTGAAGATCAAGGGCATTTGTGTTGGGAATCATACTTTGAGATATGAAATGAGCTTCGTAGTTTTTCAATTCTTTGTCTTGTGAAGATCTCTTGAAACATATTCTTACATTAGATTTAGGATCAACATTACTCTTTGCTACTGCTCCAGTCAAGAGGTATTGAATGGTTCTTTCACCTTTGAGTTCAACGATTGTGTCCAAAGCATTAACTCTTACATTATTAATTCCAGATGTAACTGTATCCATAATTTGTTGTTGTCTTTGGGATTGACTCATTTTTTCGTCTAATTTGTATTCAGATTGAGACGACTTACCTTGCTGTTGGTAATCTTGATCGTAACGAGAGCGAAGAACTACCTTGCGTACTGATGATTTCTCAGGAAGGTAGCTAATGTCAATTTGACTGCTTTGGACAGCACTTACTTCCCACAATGCTTTCAATCCATCAATAAGTCCATTTTGTGAAATCAAACGATTAATTAGTTCGGCATGAACGAATTTTCTTTCATGTTTAACTTCCACTTCTAATGCAATTCCAGCTGATTTTTGTCCTACAGTAATTTTGTAAGCGTGCATGTTATCAGGTTCAATTTCTCTGGTGCTCTTTTGGGCGGAAAGGGGTTCGAAGTTAGTTACATCAGTTTTGGCAGTATATGGCCAAGAGCGGAAATGTAAGAGTTTAACTTTGCCTTCTGGTTTAAGTTCAACCTCAGCTTTAATTTCTTGTTGTTTCAAGTCGATGTCTACTTGAGTTCTGACCTTGGGGATGTTTACTTCCCAGTGTTTGTCAAAACCAGAAATGTATTGCTCATGCTCGAATGGAGCGATGAAACTTACACGCCCTTGTGATTTTCCAGATACGGTGGCTCTGATTGTAGCTTGAAGTTGGATTTTTTCTGGGGTCTGAATTTTTTGGTTTTGGACTAGTTCTGGTTGAACTTGACCTGCAACTTGTCCTTGAACCTTAATGAGCATTGGAGAATCGTAAGTGTATAAGAAAGGAATACCCATTGAGGTAGGGACAGCTATGGCCATTTCCTGGTCATTGATAAGTTTGAACAGGTTGATTTGTTTTCCTTTGCTCATTGCGGATTCCAATGTACTAAGAACTGAAAAATAACAATTTATTTAAATACGTTAATCTAAAGGATATAAGCTGTATATAAATATTCACGGTAAGTGAGCAACGTGTTAGTACCACTTTGGATTTTTGATATATACAGAGATATAACAAATGATCCATAATCCAGATCCAGAGATTTTGAGATATAACAAATGATCCATAAGAAGTACCAAATAATAAAATTATTTAATTGTTTCAGTATTGTAAACGCTGATGTGGAATTATCTAAATATTTTAAGGATAAAGGGCATCTAGACATTTTAAAGTTTGAAACGAGTTTATTCATGAAGATAACTTGCTGAAATAATATCTGCAAAACAAGATTTCGATCTCGAACTAAATAGTATGATAAAAGAATGTGGTTTAACACAAAATGAAACAAAAACACAGAAGGTAGTAGGAATTGTGTTTTGATGGGATTTTTTTAGTCTATATCTGTTGAACGTAGATGTACATTTTCAGTGTGGAAGTGTGATATCTTTGAAATCTTCAATTTACAGTCTAGTGTAAAACGAGAGGCCCTCAATAGATCAATTGTAAGTTTATAATATTGGTTAAATGCCGCAGCATGGTATCATGTGCAAATTTAAACTACAAGGTCTTTTGTTAGATAACTTTGAAACCAGAAGAAGATTGAGATAAAGTGGAGATTTATTTTGCCTGCTGTTAAAGAACTGTTTAAAATAAGGGCACGAAGTGGATTTGAAAATAAATCTGTGGACTCTGATGTGTATTTTTAATTAATTGGTATATTGGTGGCCAGAGACTGACAGAAAAAGAAGGAAGTGTATGATTTCAAAAATATCATAAAAATATTATGTTTACAGTTTACAGTCACATAATACTTACGTTTAGGCAACTGGTTCATGGTTGTGTTATCAAAACCATACATACTAACGGGAGTACCTCGTAGTTCCAAATACCAGTAAGCTTCGAGTTGCTCACGCTCTTCGGGTTTAATGTTCAACAATTTGGCAATATTTTGACTTGACCAAGGATTATTAAGTTGTTCTTGAGCATGTCGTTGCTGTTGTTGTTGCTGGTTGGCAAAACTCTGTGTCTTTTGGTAAGCAGCTCCGATTAAGTCATCAACGTTAGAAACAACGGCTTGCATGTTGATTAGCTTTTGGTATAATCCATTGAAGCTGGCTCTCAAGGTATATCTGAGTCCTTTGGGAACGTATTCGTCTTTACTAGGAATGATTCCAGTCGATGTTTTGTACAAAGTGTTTAATTCCTCAATAACGTAATCGCGAATGTAATTAGCGCCAAATTGTGCAGGGAACTCTTTATCAGTAAGAAGAGGTTGTGCTCCTTTGGCTATAGAGCGACTGCAAAATAAAATTAATAAGTATTTAATATATTCTTAAAATTTATTGTTACTTACATAACTGCAAATTCAGGTCCTTGCAACTCGGTGAGTTCTTCAATGGACTGCTTGACAACAGCGTTGACATAATCATTATCTTCGTTGTTAGTGTTGGATGCCATAACTTGAAGGATTTGTAGTGTTGGTCGGCTACGCATGATGTGGAATACAGCAGCAATTCTTACAGCGGGATGTTCAGCAGGATTTTGGTAGATTCTAAAGAATACAGCAAGGGCATCTTCTGGGTGAGTTTCAGTTAGTTTTCCCATAGATAAAACCATTAATAAACGTTGGAATTGGGAGGATTGTTGTTTTCCTTCTAAGAATGGTTCAAAGATCTCTAGAATCCTTGGATCAGGTAGGTTTCCAACAGCACGGATATAAGCATGGATTTGGTGGGTTGCTCCTCTCTGTACAGCCTTTTGAAGTCTTTCATTAAGATATGGCATAACTTCTTTTCTTACAAATTGCTTTGATTCTTCAGTGCGGAAATGACCAAAGCTATTTACAGGGTATTCAGATTTGGCAACGTTTTTCTGTATAACAGCTTTTCTGAGCAAATCGGTAAATCCAGTTAAAGCGGTATTGTTAAGAGGGAATTGATCTTCAACTTTTTGGTGTTTAACTAGCTTAAACGCTGTTTTCAAGTATTCCATATTTGGTTGACGAGCTGATTTAAAAGCAGCAATAACAACTTGACTGGCTTCATCATCTTCAATTATTCCTTGTTGGATCCATTCTGAGATAACCAATAGAGCTGGACCAGTTCCAGTTTGAGCAATAGCGTCTCTGCAGACAGCTGAGGCAGCTGCTTCTTGACCTTTGCTAGATTGACTCATAAGTTTATCGGATACTTGTTTAAGTTCATCGAAACTCATAACGCGCATGAGAGATACAAGTTTGACGAAACGTTCCAAAGTTTTTTCATGATGATCTTTTTCTTGATCTTGGAGATCACTGGCAATTTTTTTAACAAGTTTTTCTGCTTCCTTGACTACGTCAACTGAATTTTTAATTGACATTCCTTTGTATCCAGTAGTCAATGTTAACAAAGGACTTTCAGGGGCTTCGTTAATTCTGGGTTGATTTTGTACGTTTTCTTCGGAGTCGTCAAAGATTTTAGGTCCATATTTCTTACCAAGGGAACGCTGGTGGCGACGATGGGATAATCTTTTGTAAGAGTCTCGATCTAAATAGTCTTCCTCGGAGCTGTCTCTACCAGCATTTTGGCTTCTTTGGTTTCTTTGGTTTTCAGGTCCTTCAATGTGGTTATCCTTTGAAAAGGGTTTGTTGTATGAATATACGAGACTGTCTAACTGTACAGGTTGATTAACTTCTCCAATTTTTTCGGTGTGAGATTTTACATCTTCTAATTCAGCTTCTAAGTAACTGTAAACGGCGCCTTTTTGTTCGTCGTTGATCGATGGGCTGATCAGTATAGTGTTGCTTGTACTAGTGAATAATACGTCGTGATGATTCAAGTCTCCAGCAAGAATGGCACGGCTGGTAGAATCCCTGTTAAAGTAAGTTCCCATTTGGTTAGTTGCAGCTTTGTTACGGAGTAAATAGTCACCAAATCCATAGACGTAAGCAGGAAGTTCACGGTTGTTTGTAAAATCTTCGTGCTTAATAACTTCAATGAGGTCTCCGTTTTGTTGTCTCTTTTGTTTCAATTCAACGAATCGGGCTTCTTGTTCAGAAGTAAGTAATGTGTGCTCGGGAACAGGTCTGATCTTGTATAAAGTCTCAGTTTCTCCTAAAATGGTATCTTCCATAGTTAAGAAAACGCCAGAGTTTGAACCATGTTCTGGTAAGCTGTTGAGTGGGCTAGGAAGAGTATTTTCTCCGTTGGTGTTAAGTTGGAACAAGCTTACAATACTCTTGATCATATTAGCATTCCAGTTGTCTACGTCTTTGTTAACAATGAGTCTTTCGATCTTACCATTTTCCATTTGAATTTGGAAAGGTTTGGAACTCATTGGCAGAGGTTTCCAACTAAGCTCTTCTTCTGGAACGTCACTTTGCCATCCATCATCTAAGTTTGTATGAATCTGAGTGTATTGTGGGTTTTCGATCAAAGCTTGCAATTTTCCGTCACTTCTTGGTTGAATCCTCAACTTAGCTTTCAAAAAAATACCGGAGTACTCATCAGCAACGTCCATAAGTCCTGTTAAAGTCCGTCCACGGACTTGGTAAACATATTCCTGGTTATCAGTCCATGCAGGGGTATTTGATGCGTAGGCAAGGCCCACTAGAACAAATACGGATTTATTAATCTTTAATATAAATACTAAACAAAACGATAAAAGTACTAAATATGTCCACTAGGATAAAAAACTTGGGTATTCACATAAAAAATCGTACAGTTTAATACTATTGTATGTTGAAGGCAGTTTGTTGAGATGTGGTGATAGCAGATATTATTAAGGATATCAAAGGATAGTAAATACTAGTAAGCGAGACTAGAAATCACTAGAGTATAACAGACAAGCATTTCTGTGTCTGATTGACCTAAAGAAAGCGTTTAAAAGAGTAAGACTCAAAGATGTAACCCATCTTCCGTATAATGGAGAAGTTCCCCTAAAAATTATAAAAAGTATCGAAAACATCTACCAAATCAACAAAATGGAAGTCAGAATAAATGAAAAACTTACAGAACCTTTAGAAATAGGTAGCGGAATTTCTCAACGGAAGCTCTTCAATTTGATCATGGATGAAATCATCAAAAATGTTAACAAAGGAAGAGAATACAGAATGGGAAACAAAGAAATAAAAATACTCTGTTACGCAGTCGTCGCAATATTGATAGACCAAGATGAAGATAGTCTGCAAAGACTGGTCTACAAATTTAACATAAGAGCAAAATAATTTAATATGAAAATCTCATCTCAGAAAACTAAAACAATAGTAGTCAGTAATAAACCAACCAGATGTAAAATATAAATTGATGATATCAGTATTGAACAAGTAATAGAAATAAAATACCTGGGAATTACACTGTTCAGCTATGGAAACCTGGACAAAGGAGTGAGAGATCAAGTACAAAAAGCAAATAGACTGGCAGGATGCCTTAATAACAATATATGGCGAATCAGAGACACATGCCTCAAAAACAAGACCCGACACAGCCACAATGCAAAGGTTAAAGGAAACGGCAGAGATGAGAGTACCGAGAAGAATTACAGGAAATATGAGTAATAATCTTCCATAGAAATATTAATTCGCCAATGAACAAGCAGAATTGCTTATAAAGATGAAGAAGAAGAAGAAGAAGAAGTAAGTGAGACGGATATATAAGTGAGTGGTAGCAGTAAAATAAAATAAATATTCAGGCCATGTTAACATATTTTTACAATAGAAGCTCTCCCAAACTATAAGATCTAATCATTTTGAACAAATCAAACAAATTTTGAAGAAAAATGCATCGGTGAAGAAAAGCGTTTATTACGACTTACTGCTATGGCAGTTTGCTTATGCATGAAAATAGGTCAAATACAGAGAAAGCAAGAAACAGCGACTAGAAAATGGTAATGAAAAAAGGTCTGTAGGGGAGGCGAAATACTCTAGTAGTTCGTTTGAACTACTATGAATAAAATCAACGAGAAAATACGGAAAAAAAAACATTAATATTCTATAAATATTTAATTTTAAATAGATTAAAAATAGAATCTTTTATTTTGGAACACAATATTTGAAGGCAAAATTCAAAGAGAATAAAAAAATAATTAAAAAATAGATAAATAAAAAGTATCTTACCTAACATACAAAGGACAACTTGCGACCACATCTTCACCACTGGATACCGGTCGGAGTGTACAGATCACAAGTATTTTGCACTATTTATACCCGAAGATTCGATAAAATATTGCAAGATGTGCAGATTCTGCATTTTCTCAAGATAAAACTGTTCAATGAGTTTTATAATTATATGTATGGTAACAGCGATTTTTCTAACGTATGATTTAAAATAAAATTGTCAATTTTAAATTATTTTAATTATTTATTTGCCTAATTCGTTTGCTTTTATGTTTTGTGTTTCAATTTATTTATTGGCATTATATTATTATTGGAGTATGTTGTCGACAACCATATTTTCATCAGCAAATAGAAAAGTCTCTTTCAAGAACGAAATAAAAATATAAAAATTTAAAATATATTAAAATCTCAGGAAGTCATAGCCTAACCGCTAAGATGTTCAAATATGCAGGGTCGCTAATGATATATGAAGTTAATATAAAAAAGAATAATGGCTTGAAATAGATGACACACAAAAAGTGTGCCACGAGACACAAAAGAAAGGGTATATAAAAGAGTGATGAGACCTACAGCCTACAGTTATATACATATCAGAAACGTTGGCATTGAACAAAAAAGAACACGATATATTAAAAATATTTATTTATTTTTAAATGCATATTTACAACATACTCATAAACAGTCTTCTTCTTCGCGTGCCATATCAGAATTATCCGACGTTGACGATCACCATTGCCAAGGCTTCTCCATCTTCTGCAATATGGAATAATTGTCCTGCATTGATATCTGAGTCCATTCACAAATTTTTTTAACCAAGAAACTTGTTTTCTTTCTACACCTCTAAATCCCTTTATTTTACCTTTAAGGATCAGTTGTAATATTTTATATCGACTTCCCCTTACTATATGTCCCAGAAAAGACATTTTTCGATGTTTAACCGTCTTTAGTAGTTCTTTATCTTTGTTGACGCTCCTTAGTACTTCTTCATTAGTTTTCCTTGCCGTCCAAGGTATTATCAGCATTCGTCTGTGGAACCCACATTTCCAATGCTTTAATTTTGTTCATGATCGATACTTGTACGTCCACACTTATGCCACCATACAAAAATACGGACCAAATATAGCACTTAAGCATTATTTGTCTTAGTTCTAAAGTAAAATGATTATTGCAAAGAAATGACTTCATTTTCATAAAAGTAGTTTTAGTCATTGCTATTCTACGTTTTATTTCTATGTCTGGATCTAGTTGGTTCGTTATCACTATTCTCAAATATGTCATTTTGTGAACTTTCTCAAATTGGACCCCGTTTGTTAGATATCTCTTTTGGTAGTGACTTCTTTAGATATTATAGATCCGAGATATTTATATTTATTGCATGTTTTTTTTGTTTCTAATTTCTAACTCTGGATCTTCTTCATCATCTCCTCTTTTAAGATACCCTGCCTTTGACATATTCATATTGAGGTCCCATTTTTCATATTCTTTCTTTAATTTTTTTAAAATATAGTCCATATCTTCCTCCTAATTCGCTACGACTACCTGATCATCTGCGAAAAATAAAGTTGTTAGACATTTACCACCGCCTATGTCTATTCCCATTCCGGATACTTCTTTCCTCCACTGCTCTAGTGATGATTGAATTTATATTTTAAATAAGGTAGGAGATAGACAACATCCTTGTTTAAGCCCCTTTGTTATTGGAAATGATTCAGATATAAAGTATCCTTCTTTAACGACACTTCTTGCATTTTTGTATATATTTGCGATAGCATCCACATACTATCTACTGAGACCTACTTTCGTCAATGTTTGAAACAGTTTTTTCAAAGGTACCGTATCGTATGCCTTCTCTAAATCTACAAACAATAGGTAGGTAGATAGATTTCTTGCCTTCCGTGCACGATCTTCTTGCATGGAATCTATTTTGTTCTTCTATGTCTTCGTATTCTGATTCTATTCTTTCTTTTATTATTGGACCGTACAGCCTCTCCACTGAGCTGATAACAGTTATTCCCCTTTAATTAGAGCATTTGCGTTTATCCCCTTTCTTGAATATTGAGCTGATGTATCCAACATTCCAATCATCAGGGATATTTTGTCCTTTTAAGCATTTGTTAAATAGTTGAATCAACATCTCATGTAATATTTTTTGTTCATACTATACCAACTCAATTGGGATGTCTCCAGGTCCTGCTGCTTTACGGTTTTTCGATCTTTTAAGGGCATCGCTTAACTCTCCGGTTGTTATCTCAATTATTTATGTATGTTCAGATATTTCTTCTATTTAGATCTTTTGGAATTTACATCTGTCCTCTGTTAGTAAGACCTTATAATGGTGTTTCCACTGTTTCAGATCTATTAACTTAAGTTAGATTGTTCCGTTCCTTCCCTCCGGAGAGGCTTTATCACCTTTCATGCCTGCCCAACTCTTGTTCCACCCATATACCTATACACTTCTGCACATCTTTGATCCGACATCTCATTTTTACTTTTCACTACTATTCTTTTTACATCTCGATTTAATTTTTTATATATCTTGTAATATTCCTCCTTTCTCGTTGACATTCATTTTTAATAAGCAGTTTTCTTCTTGTTTACTATACTAACGTTTGCATATTCTCCGACCACCATTCTTGCTTTTTTGTTTCATGTTTGTCTTTATAACCCAAAGCTTTACTTACAGCTTCATGAGTGCATTTCAAGAAAAAGCTTTAATATGTCCGTAAAAATAGCCTTAACACTAATTAACAATGAAAATACAAGTTATGACAGAATCTCAACAAAAGCTAACTCAAAATAAGGGAAAAGTATATTAGAGAGATGATAAAGAGACTGTAAGGTATAACATTACATAATTACTGGCTTACATGCTATTCCGCACACCAGCAGCAATATAACTATTGCAACATAAGCAGTGAAATCGCATTTATAGCATCTCACAAAGATCCTGTCATTGCTTCTCAAATCTTGCAGGATGTTATTTCATCTTGGCTAAAAACTTGAGAAATTAAAGCATATGAAATTAAAACTACCCATGTTATATACACCCTACAAAGAGGTACCTTTCCAATTGTGGCATTAAATGGTCAGTTCTTCCAACAAAAAGAAGATGCAAAATATTTGGGAATCCATCTGGACCGACGATTAACTTGGAGAACACATATATTTGTTAAGAGAAAGCAACTGGGCTTAAAATTTAGTAAATCGTACTGGACCTTAGGTCGTAAATCACAATTAACAGTTACCAACAAATTGCTAATTTACAAAGTCGTCCTAAAACTTTGTGGGAGATATAATTTTCAAATATCGAAATCCTACAAAGATTCCAGTCCAAAGTACTTAGGATTCTCGTAAATGCTCTATTGTACGTAGGGGAGAGTCACCTAAAACGGGGTCGAAGGGTAATATGGGGACATTCAAAATTTCAGTAATAGAGTGGGGAATTGACGAAAGAAGAAGACGAAGAAGCTTACATTTTTTGCAACGAGATGTACAAAAACTCTTTCGATCAGGAAGGTTGGATTTGGTGCTGCAAATGTGGTAGCTGGGCACATAAAGTTTGTTCAAGCTGTGAAGATGATGATGACACTTTTATGCGATTTTTGTTAACAGTTTGATTTTTATTTTTTAATATGAGTCATACTGAACCTACTGTATAATAATGTTCAATACTTCATTACATGTTTAATTAAAAAATAAACTAATATTTCCATGTACCCCATTTTACCCACGCTTTCTTGAAAAACGAGGTATTTACACATTTTTAAAAATGTCTATTTCTGTCCTTACATAACTTAATTTTTGTTAAATACTCAATATCAGTTTTCTGGTACTTGAAGACACACTTTAACTACATAATTGTGTAAAATATTTTATTTATTACAAATTTTCATTTTATGTCACAAAATGTGATGGGGTTCCCATTTTGGGCAACTATCCCCTAACTAAGAGGGTTATTGCTCTTAATCTTAAAATGAAATCTATCAAAGAAGAAACCTACTTCTCCCAGAAGTATGATGAAAGCATAGAAAATCACCGCAACGCATTTGCTCATCCCCTAATAAGACGTCATTTGATAGATTAATCCACGATAAACTAATATCTATATTATTATTAAGAATCACTGCCATCGATGACAGAGATGTTAAAATAATCAACAACCTGTATTAGGTCAAATTAGTTAAATTTGACTATTATAATTTTTGGTACTGAAATTTGAGGTCAGTGTAAAAAGGGTACATATGTAAGAAACATGGCAGAAACGTCTATTTCTCCAATGTGTAGTGTTTTAAAAAAGGCAAATAAAGGTAAAAAACAAAAAATACACTATGACCAATGGCAGCAGGTAAAGAATAAAAGGTTAAAGGATAGTGGAAAAAGTTAAATGGGCTACAAAAATATTGTAAAAGCCGAAAAATAGTGTCCAAATGAGGTGAGTCTAAAAACGTTACATGTGTATACTCTAACATGAAATTTTTTACCTGCGTTTTGTTGTGTACTACAGCACGTCTGTTTTAGGATTCAACTTGTTCGTTAACTTGCAACTATGATGGTTGTTCCGTGCTTAACCAAAATTTGGAAATAAAAGTTGATATATTTATTCGTTTTTACCAGTATTCTTATAATGAGCAGCAGCGGTTCCTTGCAGAGAACTAGAGAAGAAGAAGTATTCACTTCCAGTAAATATTATTGCTTCACAACGGCAGCAGGTATGTCAAAAACAAATTATATATGTTTTGAATTTAACTCGGCGGAGACTGCAGCTTCTTGCAAGATAAACAAGGTTTTAGCATCGACGATGGTCGTGATAAACAAAATAATAGACTACGAAATATTCCTGATGCTGATCAAGAGCTTGTCATTGCGCATATTTCTTCTTTTCCTTGCCAAGAAAACCATTATTCGAGAAACTCAAGTAAAAAAAATGTCTTGCTCCAGACCTATCCATAACTAGAATGTACCAATTATTTCGAAATAAGTACCCTACCACAAGGGTGCAATTACACTTGTATAGGTCAATTTTTCATGACAAATTTAACTTAAGATTTGGTGTTCTCA